GATGATCCTTTAACAGGACAGAAGCGAGTGATGTAGGTATTGATACTCTGTGAAATGCAGTTATGATCTGATATCTTGTTTATGTGAAATACATTGTGTGTGAGAGTCTCACTGCAGACGTACATGGTTACTGTAAAGTACAGTGCAGATCACAGAAGTCAGTACGTTTAGTTACATCTGTAACCTTCATTACACACAACTGAACACATATAATAATAAATATAACTGAGAGCTTTTTAAAAATAGATTTAACAAACACTTTTTTGGCCATTTTGAATGTATCTTGAATATATCTTTTCTCCATATGGGTGGGACTCCCCCAGTCACATGATACCAAAGAGGACAAAGGCAAACACAAGCTTCCTCTGAGTCACGGGAAACGTCATTGGGCAGCTAAACGCGCTCGGAGGAGAACACGAACCTCCAGTTCTGTTACGCCAGCTAACAGACGTCTGTGCTGGCCAGTATTCAGAGGAGTACAGAGGACTGAAAATCCCTACTCAAGTACAAGTACTGTTACTGTAGTGCGGATGTGGTTCCTGCGTTCCAGCTTCAACTCCACATACGCACAGTCCATCTCTACCTCCCTCTGCAAGCGCCTGTTCCTCAAGAGTTGAAGCTAGAACGCAGGAACCACATACGCACAGTCCATCTCTACCTCCCTCTGCAAGCGCCTGTTCCTCAAGAGTTGAAGCTGGAACCATTAATCTGTAGAATCTTTTCAACATCCAAGGAACCATTTAAGGACGAAGTCGTTCTTCAGATTAATGGAGAACATGTGTAAGGTTCTTTTAAGAAAAGAAAAAGTGGTTCTATGTAGCACCAGAAAGGGTTCTGCAATCGTATACAACTTTGACATCGTAACAGTAGCAGAATGCTTTTTGGTGCTATATAGAACCATATTCAACACATTCTCCATCAATCTGAAGAACCATTTCACCATCCAAAGAACCCTTTAATAACGGTTCTATATAAAACTCATAGTTCTAAATAGAACCATTTCCTCTATAAACTGTTCTTTCAGTTTGTTCCCACACTGATAAAAAGCCACCACAGTATTGTACTGAAGTACATGTACTTAAAGGTATCTAGTTCCTTGACTCCTCTGATCATGTGATCGGTCAGCGTTCTGGAGTTTGATTTTGTTGTTAAATATTCTACATAATTCATTTCTTCATGTTTTCCAGCCTCTCTTTACTCCTTACAGCCAAACAGGCTGCTTTTGTTACAGTGCCTTTAATACTGACATATATGTAAATAAGCTCTGCTGTGATTGGCTGTCCTGCATTGTGCATCGTTCAAAAACCAGCTCAATTCAGTTTTGAATGGGCGGGGCTAAACTGCTGTAGGATGAATAGGTGGATACATACATGAATGGACTGCAGCTTGTTGTCCATGTTTGGACTGTATGGACTGCTGGACGTCTGAAACTGCAGCAGTGTTTCTAAACAACATCAAACTCATTTATTTTTCAAAAGTGAGGAAAAAGCTTTTCTGTGATCTGGAGCCTTTAAATAAACCACACCTCTAATAAAGCCTGTATTCTCTCAGCAGGGTGTTCAATAAAACATCTGAACAACGGATCATAGGAACAATAAAGAACAAAGAGGCTGAAGATATTTTAATATTTTATTAGTTTGTTTTTGTTCATGTTCGTGTGTGTGTGTGTCATATTGAGTGTGTGTGATTTCTTACTTTTAAAGTGTGTGTGTGTGTGTGTGTTTGTGTGTGTGTGTTTGTCGTTTTTTTGTCTTTTGTGTGTTTGTGCATGTCAATTTGTGTAAGTGATTTCTTTTTATATGTGTGTTATTCTGTGTGTATGAGGGTCAGTTCTTTTTCTGTGTGTCATTGTGTGTGTGTGTGTGTGTGTGATGTCTATGGGTGGCTGTTTAAGGTGAAATACACTGAAACACTCACGCACACCACTGAAACACTCGCACACGCCGCTGAAACACTCGCACACACCACTAAAACACTCGCACACACCACTGAAACACTCACACACGCCGCTGAAACACTCGCACACGCCGCTGAAACACTCGCACACGCCACTGAAACACTCGCACATGCCGCTGAAACACTCGCACACGCCGCTGAAACACTCGCACACACTACTGAAACACTCGCACACACCCCTGAAACACTCGCACACACCACTGAAACACTCACACACACCGCTGAAACACTTGCACATGCCGCTGAAACACTCGCACACACCCCTGAAACACTCGCACACACCCCAGAAACACTCGCACACACCACTGAAACACTCGCACACGCCGCTGAAACACTTGCACACGCCGCTGAAACACTCGCACACACACCGCTGAAACACTCGCACACACCACTGAAACACTCACACACGCCACTTAAACACTCGCACACACCATGGAAACACTCACACACACCACGGAAACACTTGCACGTGCCACTGAAACATTCGCACACGCCACTGAAACACTCGCAAACACCACGGAAACACTTGCACGTGCCACTGAAACATTCGCACACGCCACTGAAACACTTGCACATGCCACTGAAACACTCGCACACACCCCTGAAACACTCGCACACACCACTGAAACACTCGCACACACCATGGAAACACTTGCAAATGCCTCTGAAACACTTGTACATGCCACTGAAACACTCGCAAACACCACGGAAACACTTGCACGTGCCACTGAAACACTCGCACACGCCACTGAAACACTCGCACACACCCCTGAAACACTCGCACACACCCCTGAAACACTCGCACACACCACTGAAACACTCGCACACCCCGCTGAAACACTCGCACACGCCGCTGAAACACTCGCACACGCCGCTGAAACACTCGCACACACTACTGAAACACTCGCACACACCATGGAAACACTTACAAATGCCTCTGAAACACTTGTACATGCCACTGAAACACTCACACACACTACTGAAACACTCGCAAAAACACCACGGAAACACTTGCACGTGCCACTGAAACACTCGCACACACCCCTGAAACACTCGCACACACCCCTGAAACACTCGCACACACCACTGAAACACTTGCACATGCCACTGAAACACTCGCACACACCCCTGAAACACTCGCACACACCCCTGAAACACTCGTACACGCCGCTGAAACACTCCCACACGCCGCTGAAACACTCGCACACACGCCGCTGAAACACTCGCACACACCACTGAAACACTCGCACACGCCGCTGAAACACTCGCACATGCCACTGAAACACTCACACACGCCACTTAAACACTCGCACATGCCGCTGAAACACTCGCACACACCGCTGAAACACTCGCACACGCCGCTGAAACACTCGCACACACCACTGAAACACTCGCACACACCACTGAAACACTCGCACACACCATGGAAACACTTGCAAATGCCTCTGAAACACTCGCAAACACCACGGAAACACTTGCACGTGCCACTGAAACACTCGCACACGCCACTGAAACACTCGCACATGCCACTGAAACACTCGCACACACCCCTGAAACACTCGCACACACCCCTGAAACACTCGCACACGCCGCTGAAACACTCGCACACACCACTGAAACACTAGCACACACCATGGAAACACTTGCAAATGCCTCTGAAACACTTGTACATGCCACTGAAACACTCGCAAACACCACGGAAACACTTGCACGTGCCACTGAAACACTCGCACACGCCACTGAAACACTTGCACATGCCACTGAAACACTCGCACACACCCCTGAAACACTCGCACACACCACTGAAACACTCGCACACACCACTGAAACACTCGCACATGCCACTGAAACACTCATACCCACCACTGAAACACTTGCAAATGCCACTGAAACACTTGCACACGCCACTGAAACACTTGCACACACCCCTGAAACACTCGCACACACCACTGAAACACTTGCACATGCCACTGAAACACTCGCACACACCACTGTAACACTCGCACACCACAGAAACACTCGCACACACCATGGAAACACTTGCAAATGGCTCTGAAACACTTGCACATGCCACTCAAACACTCGCACACACCACTGAAACACTTGCACATGCCACTGAAACACTCGCACACACCACTGAAACACTCGCACATGCCACTGAAACACTTGCACATGCCACGGAAACACTCGCACGCACCACTGAAACACTTGCACATGCCACTGAAACACTCGCACACACCCCTGAAACACTCGCACACACCACTGAAACACTCGCAGATGCCACTGAAACACTCGCATTCATCACTGTGCAAGTGTTTCAGCGGCACGCCCGAGTGTTTTCAGCGGCGTGTGTGAGTGTGTCAGTGGTGTGTGTGAGTGTGTCAGCGGCGTGTGTGAGTGTTTCAGTGGTGTGTGTGTCTCAGTGGTGTGTGTGTGTGTGTCACTGGTGTGTGTGAGTGTTGCAGTGGTGTGTGTGAGTGTTTCAGTGGTGTGTGTGTCTCAGTGGTGTGTGTGAGTGTTGCAGTGGTGTGTGTGAGTGTGTCAGTGGTGTGTGTGAGTGTGTCAGTGGTGTGTGTGAGTGTATCAGTGGTGTGTGTGAGTGTGTCAGTGGTGTGTGTGAGTGTTGCAGGGGTGTGTGTGAGTGTCTCAGTGGTGTGTGTGAGTGTGTCACTGGTGTGTGTGAGTGTTGCAGTGGTGTGTGTGAGTGTGTCAGTGGTGTGTGTGAGTGTTGCAGGGGTGTGTGTGAGTGTGTCAGTGGTGTGTGTGAGTGTTGCAGGGGTGTGTGTGAGTGTGTCAGTGGTGTGTGTGAGTGTGTCAGTGGTGTGTGTGAGCATGTCAGTGGTGTGTGTGAGTGTGTCAGTGGTGTGTGTGAGCATGTCAGTGGTGTGTGTGAGTGTGTCAGTGGTGTGTGTGAGTGTCTCAGTGGTGTGTGAGTTCAAGTGAATCAGTGTATTTCATTGTAAACAGCAACCCACAGATTTCTTCTTCCACTTTTTGTGTTTCTCCATTTTTTCTTCTCTCTGTGTCTCACTCAGGTTTCTGTCTCACTCAGGTTCTTGGTCTCTCTCGGGTTCTCTGTCTCTCTCAGGTTTTAGTGTTGATTGGTGTTCCTGCCACCATCCTTTCCCCCAGACTATGAGGGTGAACGGCACTGCATAATAACCCGTGTCCATCTCTTCCTGCACCCGTCTGGCATGGAACACCTGCCTGCGTTCTTCATCGCAGTTCTTTAGGTCATGCTGCCACCGGTGGGGTCCTTCTGTCGTTTGTTCTTCTCTCCATCCTGTCCTCCAGACTGTGAGGGTGTACGGGACTGCATTAGATCTGCTATCCCACTCTTCCTGCACCCGTCTGGGACGGACCACCTCCCTGCTTTCATCATCACAGCTCTTTATGTTGTTCGTCTGTCCAGAAGAACCTCTCGGCAAAAAGACTTGTTGGGTTCTCTATAAAAAAACATGTTTAATAGTTTAGTGACCGTGACTAGGACTAAAAGATCCACAGATTAGGGACCAAGACTAGGACTATAAGATCCACAGTTTAGGGACCAAGACTAGGAGGAAAGATCCGCAGATTAGGGACCAAGACTAGCACTAAAAGATCCACAGTTTAGTGACCAAGACTAGGACTACAAGATCCACAGTTTAGGGACAACGACTAGAACAAAAAGATCCACAGATTAATGACCATGACTAGAACTAAAACATTCACAATTTAGGGACAATGACTAGGACTAAAAGATCCACAGATTAGGGACCAAGACTAGAACTAAAAGATGCACAGATCATGGACCAAGACTAGGACTAAAATATCCATAGTTTTGGAACCATTACTAGAACTAAAATAACCATACTTTAAAGACCATGAGTAGAATTAAAACACCCACAGATTAAGGACCCTGAATAGCACATGAAAATCAGTTTTGGGACTATGACTAGGACTAAAAGATGGACAGTTTAGTGACCATGACAGATTACAGACCATGACTAGGACTAAAAGCTGTACCTGTTCGTTAAGTTTGTCATTTGGATCTTTGTCTTTATTATAGTGGATTTTCCGTCCTTTTCCTCTGGTTCCTCTCCTGGTTTTTCTCTTTTTGGTCTCTTCTTCCTCAGGAGGGTCGCTTTTCTTCACATCCTGTTCAGCTAGAAAGCAAAATTAGATAAATCAGTAACCAGCTTTTCTCAGATAGTCTGTCCTGGAGCACAGAAATACTAGACAGCATTTAAGTTACAACATATTTCAAATCAGTTTATCTAAATGTTATATTTACATACCAAAACATTCCCTAGCAACCGCCAGAGGTTTCATAGCAACTACACAGTAATTCCTTAGCAACAACCTGGAATAACATTAACCGAGAAACAGCAGTCTGGCAACCATCTGGGATAACATAGTAATGACCTAGACACTCCATAGCAAAGACCAAGACATGAAACAAAATACTAACATCCTATGAACTATTTTGGATACTTTAGCGACCCCTTAGCAACACCCTAGCAACCATTTAAAATACTGTAATGTTTAATGCTATTGAAGGACACACGGCTGATGCACAAGCCGATGTGCTTTGTACGCCGTACAATAAGTGAGGCTTTAGCTAACAGCCAGCTCTACATTCAGCTCACATCTGCACTCTATCAGCGCTCAACTCCGACTGACACCCAGTTCCTGTCTGATCTGACACACAGACCCCCAAAGGTGAACCAGCCCCACCTTCACAAGAGTCTTTGTCAGAAAAAACCCAGAGAATAACTGTAGAACAATAACCCAGAAAAAACAAGCAGAACATTTCTAGAACATGCTACAATAAAACTCCCTCAAAACAAATCAGCCACCACCTCATAACCACCTAAAGTACCCTATCAAGTATCCATCTAAACCCGAGCCACACCAGAACGGTTCTAGTTATCATCAGAATGTTTTACAGTTCTTTCTATCACTCACTCAGAAGTTGGTTCTCTGGGGTTTGAGTCTCTTCCAGGTAGACGTTCAGACTGTCTTTGGTGGCTTCAGGCTGAGCTTCAGCTTCTATTACGCTGATCACATCTTTCTCTGCAATGAGACGAATTCAAATGAAGTTCTTTCCCTAGAAGAACCACTTCTGGTTCCCTAAAGAACCTTTCAGTGGACGGCTCTCCAGTGTAAAGAGCCTTTTTAATGACCAGAGCATCTTCGTATCGTGTAACAGTTCTATACAAATTGAGCCCTTTTCCTAGAACCGTACATCCATGCCATTATTTTTGGTGTGAACAGATGTTCCGTTGTGTTCCGACTCCAGAATCTGAGATTTATCTCATTTACTCACCCAGAGGCTGGTCATCACTGTCTGAAGCCTCTTTCAGGTCCAGATGTTCCTCAGCAGTTTCAGCTTCAGCTACATCGTCCTTCAGCTTCAGCCGCTCGTCTCCTGCTGTTACACGGAGAAACATCATCAGCTGTCCAGATCAATCACTGTGATTGGATCTGATTTGATTATTACTTATTTATCATAAGATATGCAGCTTTTATTAATTATTAATTCATGATCAGGAAACAATTAGCAGCTGTTTTATGGTCATCATTATATCTAGTAATAATTTCCATTTCTTACCCAGAGGCTGGACACTCGCCGACACAGCATCATGGAACAGGATCTCCAGGAGCTCTCTGATGGCTTCAGCTGCATCATTGTTGGTGCTCACTAGATGATCTTGAATGAATTCAGATTAGAGCTCATATTAAGATGAATTCCTGCTTTTATATTCACTAAATGTGTTATTATCATCTCACTATCTGTTCATTTCCTTTACTTACCCAGATGTTTCTCCAGAGTTTCCTCCTCAGTCTCGTTCAGACAGACGCTCATGACTTCGTTGGTGGCTTCAGCAGCCGCTTCATCAGCCACCGTCATCATCACTGTCTCAGTTTCTGTTTTCATAAAAATACAGTCAGTTTTCCAGCTTTTTAATTTTTTTTTATTATTTTTTATTTCTTTTACTCACCCAGAGGCTGGAGACTCGCTGACAGAGCATCATCGAACAGGATCTCCAGGAGCTCTCTGATGGCTTCAGCTGCATCATTGTTGGAGCTCACTAGATGATCTTGAATGAATTCAGATTAGAGCTCATATTAAGATGAATTCCTGCTTTTATATTCACTAAATGTGTTATTATCATCTCACTATCTGTTCATTTCCTTTACTTACCCAGATGTTTCTCCAGAGTTTCCTCCTCAGGCTCGTCTAGGTTGATGTCCATGAGCTCATTAGTGGCTTCAGCAGCCGCTTCATCAGCCACCGTCATCATTTCATTTTCTGCTTTAATACAAATAAATATTGTCAGTTTTTCAGCTTTTTCTTTTTTATTGTAATATGTTTATTTCTTTTACTCACCCAGAGGCTGGACACTCGCTGACAAAGCATCATCGAACAGGATCTCCAGGAGCTCTCTGATGGCTTCAGCTACATCATTGTTGGTGCTCACTAGATGATCTTGAGTGAATTGAGACAGATTGGAGCTCATATTATGCTTTAATATTGACTAAATGTGTTATTATCATCTCACTATCTGTTCTTTTCCTTTACTTACCCAGATGTTTCTGCTCAGCCTTGTCCAGACAGATGCTGATGGTTTCGTTGGTGGCTTCAGCAGCCGCTTCATCAGCCACCGTCATCATCACTGTCTCAGCTTCTGTTTTCATAAAAATACAGTCAATCATAACGGACACTGAATATTATTCAGTTTGGAAAATGATTTCAAAAACTCCCTCTTATTTTCCAGCTGTTACTCTGAAATATTCAGTACCAAATTATTCAGTATGAAATATGAATATTCCCATATTTCATATGAATTCAGTGTTTACTATGAACATTGTGTACTGAATTATTCAGTCGCTGCTATGAACGTTCCATGATTATTCTGAAATATTCTTTACCTCCTATGATTTATTCAGTATCCACTGTGAATTATACAGCACCTACTATGAATTATTTACTATCAACCTTTATTTATATAATGACCTCTGATTTATTTAGTATCTGTTATAAATTATTATGTAATTAATATTAATTATTTCATATGCACTATAAATTATTGAATCCCCAGTATGGATTATTCAGTATCTATTATAAAGTATTATATATTTACTATAAATTATTTCATATGCACTATGATTTATTTACTGACCATTATGATTATTCAGTATCCACTATGAATTTTTGAGTATCAGCAATGAATATTTAGTGACTACTACAAATTAATCAGTATCTACTCTGCTTTATTCAGTATCCAGTATGGATTATTAGTGTCTCCCATTAATATTTCATGCTACTATGAATTATTCAGTCTTCATTCTGGATTATTTTGTATCTGTAATGAATTATTCAGTATCTACTGTGAATTTTACAGTGTGTACTATGAACATGTGGTGACTGCTATGAATTTTTCAGTGTGCTATGAATGATACTGTATCCATTTTGAATTATACAGCATATATTACAAATTATTATGGAATTACTATGAATTATTCCGTATTCACTGTGAATTATTCAGCATCCACTATGAATTGTGTACTGTCCACTATGAATATTCATTATCCATGGTGGATTATTTAGTATCTACTATTGATATTTAGTGACTACTATGAACTATTCAGTCTTCATTACACATTATTTAGTATCTGCAATGAATTATTCACAATCTACTTTGAATATTTACTGACAGCTATGAATTATTCAGTACCCACTATGAATTTTATTGTGTTTACTATCAATATTTGGTCACTACTATGAATTTTTCAATATCTACTATTAATTATTCTGTGTCCACTTTGAATCTTTCAGTATCTATTATGAATATTTGGTTATCACTACTATTATTCAGTGTCTACTATGAATATTATCTCATTAACTCACTCAGAAGCTGCTCTATGCGTGTCTCCACCTCATCCAGCATCATTTTCATTAGATGTTTAATGGCTTCATCTCCCTCTTCAGTGAGGTTCTCCTGTAGTGGAGGTGCCGTGTTCTCCAGCGTCTCAGCCGAGACGCTTTTAAGGCTGCCGGACTCGAGGCCTACTGGCAGGTCCAGAACATCGGCCTCTTCCTCCACCTTTGCTGGCTGCTGGTTTGTTGGCCTCTTTTCTTTTTCTGCTTCTTCCTCTTTGTTGATGTTGTTCTTTCTTTCTTTCTTCCAATGAATTTTCCATTTCCTCCTGCTCCTCTTCTTCTTTCCTTTCTTTCTCTTCTCACTCTGCTGCTCCTCTTTTCTGTTGCTGTCCGTGTCCGAGTCGGCCTCGTGAACTCGGCAGCACCAGAACCAGAGGCAGCTCATTGTCGCAGCTATTCTCTTCGCAGCTCCACACGGAATGTTGTGAAACGGCCGCGTGACGGAACTTATCTGCATCACCTTTATGACCTCACACCCTGTAGCCTTTAGTCCATTATGACGTCAGAGCACAACTTCAAACAGCTTTCTACATCTATCACTCTCACTGCTGACCAGTGAGGGAGAAGCTACAGTCTAGTGGACAAACTGTAGTGACCCTTGAGGAAGAGAAACACATTCAAGTGAACTTTTCAAAAGTGTGTTTAATATGAAAAGTACAAACTTTTAATGTTCACACTTTAAACTTCCTTTAGTTCAGACTGAATGTGCTGCTTTTGTCCATCTTATGATGATGTTTGTGTTTAAGTTGGAATTTAGCTGTAATTAAATATATTAAACGCATTTAGTTTTGTTTTGTGGTGCTTTTTTTGAACTACTTATGAGCTTTTATTACACGAGAAATAGATTTTAAATATTCTGCTTGATTTACTGAAACACTTCAGTCCTACTTATTGAGTTATAGTGCAACCAAAATACACTTAAATGCACTTGGAATCATGTAAATATACTTAAATACATTAAACAAATAAAATATGTATTTAAGTATACTTTCAAAAACAGTTAATGTATAAACACTGAATTAAAATATATTAGAAATTAATAAATACAACTTAAAACCACTTTGATTATATTTAACTAATGTTGAAATTCATCTTCTTTGTCTACAAGTGCTTTTCTGTTCTAAACTAGAACTTATGTTGTGATGAATTTCAAATTCTTCTACACTTACATGCACTAAATATATTAAAATACATATTACAAATATTAAAGATTAAACATTTTAAATGTGAACTCTTAGATGCATCAATATCACTATGATATTTAAATTTAAATATATTGCAATGAAAATGCAACAAAATGTAATAAAGCGAACTTTAAAAGTCATTTCTTTAGAAAACATTACACTAAAAATCCAGGTAGGTTGATGGCATTTAAAAATAATTTTAAGTGTTTTGTGTGTCTTAACAGTATGTTAAAAAATGTACTTTTATTGTTCTCTGTATCTTCAGGTTTAATGTTGCTGTATTAAATCTGCTTCTTGTTCACAGGTGAATTACAGTGAAGCTGCTGTTTAATTAATCAGATCCCCAAATATTTAACACATAATCTGAGTCAGAAAGAGTTTCTGCTGATTGACAGCTTTAAGATAAAGTGCTGTAACTCACACTTTCATCACCCTTACAGTACAAATCCAGAGTAGCACTATAATAAACTCTCAGATATCTATATTTGTGTATAATCCTGCTGTAATAATCTATATCCTCCTCTGTGTGGCGCTCCTGTGGAGCTGTTTTACAGTAATCTATAGGACGTGTGGAGGATCCTGAGGTGAACTACAGTAAACGTCTGAATTTACTGTAAGCAGAGGAGGAAAAAGGACAGAGAAGCTCTACTTCAGTGAAGGAGGATCTCTGGGTGGAGATTTTGTGTCAAACTTTTACTGATTAAAACGAAACGTGGAGCCAAAATATATAATTTAGTGAAAGTCAAAAAGAACCTACATTTAAATATCAATACAATGGGGTCTGAAAGTCTGAGAGCGCTAGAGAAAAGGCTTCTGTTTAGCCTTCACTACTAATTTAATGCACCTTTTTCACCACAAATCAGGAACAGTAGAATCTTTGAAATTTGAACATGAATGTCCGAATTTCTCAGTATTTGGTGGGGTGTCCCTCTCTAGCTTTAATGACAGCGTCCACTCGAGCTGCATGACGTCCACAAGTCTGTGTAAAAGCCTCTGATGAGCAGATCAGATCCACCTGAGAGTCGCCTGAACACGAGCTTCACTGAAAGAGACGAGACTAAAACCAAACCTGAGCTTTCAGCACAAAGAGCTCAGCATGGTCAGCGTCTCAGATCTGCTCCAGTTTAAACAGTGAGCTAGAACCACAGCAGAACCTTCAACAGTTCCTCTTCATTCAAAAGGCTTCATGAAGACATCCCAGACTCTCAGTGAGCTGCTCAGTGGGGTTTTGGGCCTCCCTGTACAGAACAGTGAAATATAATAATTCATAATTCATTTTTACATGAATGTTTTCCAAACTCTCTTTATCTCTCACAGTTAAACCGGCTGTGTTTGTGTCTTTAATTCTGATAAACACCGGTCAGTCATAACATTATGACCACCTCCTTGTTTCTACAGTTACAGTCTGTAGTCCATCTGATTCTCTGATACTTTGTTAGCCCCCTTTTCATACCCAGCCATTACCATGTCTTGGGATGTCTTCAGACATGTCTAAAGACACATTATGAAGATGTCTTAGGACATCTTGAGGCATGTCTTAAGAAATGAAGACATGTCTTTAAGACGTCTATAGACACGGATCTTAAGATGTTTTGGCTATAATAACATCCCAAGATGTTTTAAGATGTAGGATGCATAATCTGTATTTTTAAATTTTTTTAAATAAATCTTCTACTTTTAAATATTTTTAAGGGAATTTTAAAATGTAACATTATTTACAGCAAAAAAAAATTGTTAATTATTTATAATACAGTGTTGCTGCAAAATGTAAACCTTTTTATAGTAATTAATCCTTTCAAAAATTAATTGTTTTCAAAAATGTGTTTAAAATACATTTTTCTACAATTACTATTTTTACAGTTGCTTCATTTTTTAATGAAGGTATCATTTTATCAAATTTTAAAATAATAATAATGAGAAGGAGAACAAGAACAATAATAAGTTCACATAAATTACTGTAATGTAATTTAAGGGGGTATGGAAAATCACTGAAATTACTTTTAGATCTGCGTACACAAGCAGGCTGAATTTAAAGGGGACCTGTTATGCTAATTTCCAATGTTCATAATTTTATTTTGGGTCTACTATAATATATTTACATGCTTCAGTGTTCCAGAAACACATTATTTTTCTCATACTGTAAATCTCTACTCACCCTCTGTCTGAAACGCTCTGTTAGAGCTCCTGTGTCTTTAAGCCCCTCCTTCCTGATGAGCCCAGTACGCTCTGATTAGTCAGCTCGCTCACTTGGTTCTGACTGACCAAGCGCCAGAGTGGTTCTGCACGGCCTCTGGTTGATGCGCTGCGTTGTGTGAGGGTGTGCCAAGCTCGCTGGTAGGTGGGCAATAAGAATTGTGTTATAGGATTACATCATCTTGTAACAAAGGAATTCTCTCTGTCACAGAGAATTATTACATGGAATGATTATTAATAAGAGCTGAACTCTATTACAGCATGTTTACCACATGCTTTATGCTATAAACTGTAGCGCTCTGAGACTTGCAGTATTACACATTAAAGCACTGTGAAGAAGTAAATTCATAAATATTGATACAGTGTTGGTGATATTGCCATATCGATATTTTGAACACAGCTGTAATGGCAAATAACATATTAATAAATTGAATGAACAAAGCGCAGATATTTGAATACTGTAACCCAGCTTTACCTAAACATTCTGCTCTTCTGTATTACAATAAATACTTCATGAAGTATATTAGTTTGAAATACCCACCAAATCTAAACATCTGTCTGACATTCATATAGTTTTATTTAAAAAATTAAAACTTGAGTCTCACCAGTTGCTCAGCTTCAGATGATTTCTGATGAGAAACATCTAAAACAAAACAGACACATGAGGTAAATGCAGCAAAACAATAATAACAGCAAAGCATAACAATGAACTTAAACACAAAACAAACTGGTCATTATATATTACTGACTAAAATGTAACTGAGTAAAACGTAGATTATTAATCTAAAGCACAAATAATATCTTTTAAAAATACTCTAGAAAGTACAAATCCACCGAGACGTTACTGGAGTAAACGTAACTGAGCACATTAAACTCATTACTACCCTCTCTGAGCTACACAGACTGACGGACTGTGTTCAGTTTAATGCTGGACGGACTGTAACCAGTCGATCATCCTGTGGGTTTGAATCCGGGCGAGCGGCCCTTCGGGGTGAAGCCTGTGGAGCGTGGGGCTGCAGGTCACCATAGAAACCGTTTGGAGGTCACGAGGTCACCGTAGCCCTGTGCGTGAGAGAAGGCGTAGCCGGAGCGGCGGGTGCTGGAGCGACGGATTTTGGTCCGACGCTGAGGGGAAGGACGCTGGTCTTTCTTCTGATGGACCTTAAATCTCACCTGCATCAAGAACAAGACAGTGGAGTTATTATCCATTCATAATGATTATAATAATAATAATGTCATATTATTATTTTTCTGTTATATATAACACCCAAACATTATGCATTGCTATTACTGGATATTACTACACACAATACACCAAAAGATGGACACCAGAAAGGACTGCAAGTCTAAACTGGACTGTGGTAGAGGGGAGTTGGTTAGTTAGAGTGTACAGTGGTGTAGAAGGATGAACTCTGTCTGTGTACCTTGTCGTTGATGGCGGGTTTAAGCTGGATGAAGATGAATCGATGAACCAGCACTGGTAGAACACACAGTACGGCCGTCAGGAAAACCGTCAGCCAAACGCTGAACTGATCCAGAGAGTTACGAGATGTACCTGTCAGCACAAACACATACAGTTACTGTCTGTGCTCACACGGTAAAGACGTACAATATTTCCTTTCAATAAATTCAGTGCATTATTTCCATTAAACTGGCTAGATTAAGTGATTTTTAATTTTTTTCCAGACATGTTAAGCAGCCCAGTAGTGTTGTAAAACAGAAAAACACTATTCGCCACTATATAGTGCCATATTTTCAGCTATATAACTGAATTGATGTCCTATTCACTATATAGTGCACTGTTTTGTGCTATGTCTGAAACTGTGGTGAAAGCTGTTGGCACTCACCTACGAAACGGAAGGATGGTGGGTGAAGCTGGTACAGTCCGTCACTCTGCATGGTGAACGTCACAATAAAATACATCCCCAAACTGCCCCAAACAAACCAATGATTAACCGCTGTCCAGTAGGACAGGTCCAAGCTCAGCCGCAGAGGAGAGAGAAGAGAGAATTCAAAAGATTGATAATGCAGCATCCTGATTACAGACAGCAACATTTTATATGCTTATTTCATTCACCATTTTATTAGCAGCTCATTAGCTCATTTTTATACATTAATACTGTATTTTACACATTCATTATTTTCATGTTTAATTGTTTCATTCTTTTTTCTTTTACCCTCTATTAAAAATGCATCAAGGTCCTTTTAAGTTTAATATGATATGTTGTATCATGTTCATATGATCCACACAGTCATTCTGACAGACTGTAATACACTACAGGAAGTGTAGGGGGCGATATGGCTTCTACTGTTTCATTTAAAAAGCCTCTATAATGTTCATATGATCCACACAGTCATTCTGACAGACTGTAATACACTACAGGAAGTGTAGGGGGCGATATGGCTTCTACTGTTTCATACAGAAACAGTAGTTGAGCTCTGGTTCTACACACCTGGAGGCACACAGTGAAGGTGAGGCAGGTCTGAGTGAGCAGGGCGAATGATAGGTAGTCGGCTCCTTCCTTTCCGTCGCTGCGCATGGAGTCGTACACGGTGGCGTAGGGAACGAAGAACAGCACCAGTGAGCTGTAGCAGCTGTGCAGAGCGCACTTCATAAACGCAGTCTTACTGAAGTACAGACTCAGCTGACCCGGAACATACAGCTGAGGAAACTCCAGACTCCAGCCGTCATTAACATCCTGAACACAGAGACACAGAGAGAGCATCAGCTCCCTTCAGTTCAGCTCAGTTCAAAGGGGAAGTCCACCAATTTTTCAGAATTAAATGTTTAGGGTGTAAAGAGAGTCAATTGGAGCGGTTTGGTGTGAAACGCTCCGTTCTAGAGAAACTTAGTCAGAATTGTTCACAGTGGTGGTGATAGGAACCAGACGTCCACCTCTAAAAGCTCCCTCACAGAAAGTTACTACATTAAATGGTTATGAATTCACTGCCTGTCTTGGCCTAAAATTCCAATCTACTCATGGTGGAGGGACACATGTAGTGCATTGTGAGGCAAAATAGTCCCCTAAAAAAACTTAATGTTTTAAAATTTCCACTATTTTGCCATCATTAACATTCCATATAAACAGAAGACGTGTAGGGTCACTGGTGGTATACATATATATGGTTACGCCTGGTTCCTATCACCACCACTGTAAAGAAATCGGAGTCTCTACAATCAACCATTTCATACCAAACAACTCGAAATCACCATTCAGCATACTTGGTCAAACAGGGCCATGCCCAAGACTGGGAGGGATGTGTACACCAAACTGTAGAGAGCAATGAAGCCTTCATCATAAACCGTCTGCAGAAAATGAACAACATAATCACATTAATATACAGTTGAGAGAAATTCAGAAAATGTATTAAAAGATGAAAATGACCACATCTGCAGTCCAGTGTCCCCTTTGTAGTGTATCAGCCAAAATATATCTGCTTCTTTAGTTTTGTACTAGACAGCAGTGCAGACAAAATTCAGGATGCTTTTACTTTTAGCAATGCTAACATAGTTTTGTCCAGGTTTACAGATAAAAGTGAGTCAGAAACCACATAGTCCATTAGAGATACTGAACACCTCCACACAGTTTGAGACGAGTGTGTGATGATGTAGACATGCAGTTAGCACCATGCTAATTGATGTGGTATAAGCTTCCATTCTTGATAGCTACATTAGCTTTGCAGCTCCAGTGCTAGAACCAAAGAATTAATCTTCAGGCACCAAACATGTCTTGGCTGATCTACTGTATCTGGAGTAAGTGCTCTGGTCAGGATGTTTGGAGAAAGGACGTTAGTGGACGTTTCCTCACCTGGGCAGAGAAGCCGCAGAAGAAGGCGTACCAGAAGTGGACGAAGGTGAAGGTGAAGTTTTTGTAGAAGAAGTAACGCAGAAACTTGCACATGCGCAGGTAGGACCAGCGGCCATGCACCAGCAGGAGGCGCTGCAGGAAGCGGAACTGAGCGAAAGAGAAATTGCTGGACAGAACGGCCTGCATGCCTTCCTGACCACTGATACCCACGCCGATATGAGCCGCTACAGACAGAGAGAAGGAAAAGGTAACGTTAGCATTGTGAGCTGTAATGTACAAACTGGCCCTGGATTTATGAGAGGTTTACTAAGTCCTGTGTTTGGTGTCTGAAGTGCTCCTTTAGTTTTAGCACTAAGCTACGAGGACTTTACTCCTCTAATTAGCCTGGTGCTAACTGCATGAGGAAATCATCACACTGGCCTCAAACTGTGTGGAGGTGTTCAGTATCTCTAATAGAAACGAATATATGGTTTCTGACACTGTATAATGCACTATTATCAATAAACATAGATTAAACTCAGATTTGGAGGGGGAGACGAGTGATTTGGAGACGGCTGATTTGGAGAGGGGTGATTTGGAGATGGGTGATTTGGAGACAGGTGATTTGGAGAGGGGTGATTTGGAGATGGGTGATTTGGAGACAGGTGATTTGGAGAGGGGTGATTTGGAGATGGGTGATTTGGAGACTGGTGATTTGGAGAGGGGTGATTTGGAGAGGGGTGATGTGGAGAGGGGTGATTTGGAGATGGGTAATTTGGAGATGGGTGATTTGGAGACGGGTGAATTGGAGATGGGTGATTTGGAGAGGGGTGATTTGGAGATGGGTGATTTGGAGACAGGTGATTTGGAGAGGGGTGATTTGGAGATGGGTGATTTGGAGACTGGTGATTTGGAGAGGGGTGATTTGGAGAGGGGTGATGTGGAGAGGGGTGATTTGGAGAGGGGTAATTTGGAGATGGGTGATTTGGAGACGGGTGAATTGGAGATGGGTGATTTGGAGAGGGGTGATTTTGAGAGAATTTATTTGGAGAGAATTTATTTGGAGAGGGGTGATACGGAGATGGGTGATTTGGAGAGGGATAATTTGGAGATGGGTTGATTTGGAGAGGGGTGATTTGGAGAGAGGTGATTTGGAGATGGGTGATAAGAAGAGGGGTGATTTGGAGAGGGGTGATTTGGAGAAAGGGTGATTTGGAGACGGCTGATTTGGAGAGGGGTGATTTGGAGAGAATTTATTTGGAGAGGGGTGATTTGGAGAGGGGTGATTTGAAGAGGGGTAATTTGGAGAGGGGTGATTTGGAGATGGGTAATTTGGAGATGGGTGATTTGGAGACGGGTGAATTGGAGAGGGGTGATTTGGAGAGGGTGATTTGGAGAGAATTTATTTGGAGAGGGGTGATTTGGAGATGGGTGATATGGAGATGGGTGATTTGGAGAGGGGTGATTTGGAGAGGGGTAATTTGGAGAGGGGTGATTTGGAGATGAGTGATTTGGAGAGGGGTGATTTGGAGAGAATTTATTTGGAGAGAATTTATTTGGAGAGGGGTGATTTGGAGAGGGTGATTTGGAGAGGGGTGATTTGGACAGGGATAATTTGGAGATGGGTGATTTGGAGAGGGGTGATTTGGAGATGGGTGACATGGAGAGGGGTGATTTGGAGAGGGGTGATTTGGAGACGAGTGATTTGGAGACGGGTGATTTGGAGAGGGGTGATTTGGAGAGAATTTATTTGGAGAGGGGTGATTTGGAGAGGGGTGATATGGAGATGGGTGATTTGAAGAGGGGTAATTTGGAGAGGGGTAATTTGGAGATGGGTGATTTGGAGACGGGTGCTTTGGAGACGGGTAATTTGGAGACGGGTGATTTGGAGAGGGGTGATTTGGAGAGAATTTATTTGGAGAGGGGTGATTTGGAGAGGGATAATTTGGAGATGGGTGATTTGGAGAGGTATGATTTGGAGAGGGGTGATTTGGAGACGGGTGATTTGGAGAGGGGTGATTTGGAGAGGGGTAATTTGGAGATGGGTTGATTTGGAGAGGGGTGATTTGGAGAGGGGTGATTTGGAGATGGGTGATTTGGAGATGGGTGACATGGAGAGGGGTGATTTGGAGAAGGGTGATTTGGAGACGGGTGATTTGGAGAGGGGTGATTTGGAGAGAATTTACTTGGAGAGGGGTGATTTGGAGAGGGGTGATTTGGAGAGAATTTACTTGGAGAGGGGTGATTTGGAGAGGGGTGATTTGGAGAGAATTTACTTGGAGAGGGGTGATTTGGAGAGGGGAGATATGGAGATGGGTGATTTGAAGAGGGGTAATTTGGAGACGGGTGATTTGGAGAGAATTTATTTGGAGAGGGGTGATTTGGAGATGGGTGATTTGGAGAGGGGTGATTTGGAGAGGGGTGATTTGGAGAGGGGTGATTTGGAGAGAATTTATTTGGAGAGGGGTGATTTGGAGAGGGGTGATATGGAGATGGATGATTTGAAGAGGGGTAATTTGGAGAGGGGTAATTTTGAGATGGGTGATTTGGAGACGGGTGCTTTGGAGACGGGTAATTTGGAGATGGGTGATTTGGAGACGGCTGATTTGGAGATGGGTGATTTGGAGATGGGTGATGTGGAGAGAGGTGATTTGGAGAGGGGTGATATGGAGACGGGTGATTTGAAGAGGGGTAATTTGGAGAGGGGTAATTTGGAGACGGGTGATATGGAGAGGGGTGATTTGGAGAAGGGTGATTTGGAGACGGGTGATTTGGAGACGGCTGATTTGGAGATGGGTGATTTGGAGAGGGGTGATTTGGAGACGGGTGATTTGGAGACGGCTGATTTGGAGAGGGGTGATTTGGAGATGGGTGATTTGGAGAGGGGTGATTTGGACAGGGATAATTTGGAGATGGGTGATTTGGAGAGGGGTGATTTGGAGATGGGTGATATGGAGAGGGGTGATTTGGAGAGGGGTGATTTGGAGACGAGTGATTTGGAGACGGGTGATTTGGAGAGGAGTGATTTGAAGAGAATTTATTTGGAGAGGGGTGATTTGGAGAGGGGTGATATGGAGATGGGTGATTTGAAGAGGGGTAATTTGGAGAGGGGTGATTTGGAGACGGGTGCTTTGGAGACGGGTAATTTGGAGAAGGGTGATTTGGAGAGGGGTGATTTGGAGAGGGATAATTTGGAGATGGGTGATTTGGAGAGGGGTGATTTGGAGACGGGTGATTTGGAGAGGGGAGATTTGGAGAGGGATAATTTGGAGATGGGTTGATTTGGAGAGGGGTGATTTGGAGAGGGGTGATTTGGAGATGGGTGATTTGGAGATGGGTGATATGGAGAGGGGTCATTTGGAGAAGGGTGATTTGGAGACGGGTGATTTGGAGAGGGGTGATTTGGAGAGAATTTACTTAGAGAGGGGTGATTTGGAGAGGGGTATTATGGAGATGGGTGATTTGAAGAGGGGTAATTTGGAGACGGGTGATTTGGAGAGAATTTATTTGGAGAGGGGTGATTTGGAGAGGGATAATTTGGAGATGGGTGATTTGGAGAGGGTTGATTTGGAGACAGGTGATTTGGAGAGGGGTGATTTGGAGAGAATTTATTTGGAGAGGGGTGATTTGGAGAGGGGTGATATGGAGATGGGTGATTTGGAGAGGGGTAATTTGGAGATGGGTGATTTGGAGACGGGTGCTTTGGAGACGGGTGATTTGGAGAGGGGTGATTTGGAGATGGGTGATTTGGAGATGGGTGATTTGGAGAGGGGTGATGTGGAGAGGGGTGATTTGGAGATGGGTAATTTGGAGATGGGTGATTTGGAGAGGGGTGATTTGGAGAGAATTTATTTGGAGAGAATTTATTTGGAGAGGGGTGATATGGAGATGGGTGATTTGGAGAGGGGTGATTTGGAGAGGGATAATTTGGAGATGGGTTGACTTGGAGAGGGGTGATTTGGAGAGAGGTGATTTGGAGATGGGTGATAAGAAGAGGGGTGATTTGGAGAGGGGTGATTTGGAGAAAGGGTGATTTGGAGACGGCTGATTTGGAGAGGGGTGATTTGGAGAGAATTTATTTGGAGAGGGGTGATATGGAGATGGGTGATTTGAAGAGGGGTAATTTGGAGAGGGGTGATTTGGAGATGGGTAATTTGGAGATGGGTGATTTGGAGACGGGTGAATTGGAGAGGGGTGATTTGGAGAGGGGTGATTTGGAGAGAATTTATTTGGAGAGGGGTGATTTGGAGATGGGTGATATGGAGATGGGTGATTTGGAGAGGGGTGATTTGGAGAGGGGTAATTTGGAGAGGGGTGATTTGGAGATGAGTGATTTGGAGAGGGGTGATTTGGAGAGAATTTATTTGGAGAGAATTTATTTGGAGAGGGGTGATATGGAGATGGGTGATTTGGAGAGGGGTGATTTGGACAGGGATAATTTGGAGATGGGATGATTTGGAGAGGGGTGATTTGGAGATGGGTGACATGGAGAGGGGTGATTTGGAGACGAGTGATTTGGAGACGGGTGATTTGGAGAGGGGTGATTTGGAGAGAATTTATTTGGAGAGGGGTGATTGGAGAGGGGTGATATGGAGATGGGTGATTTGAAGAGGGGTAATTTGGAGAGGGGTAATTTGGAGACGGGTGATTTGGAGACGGGTGCTTTGGAGAGAATTTATTTAGAGAGGGGTGATTTGGAGAGGGATAATTTGGAGATGGGTGATATGGAGAGGGGTGATTTGGAGAACGGTGATTTGGAGACGGGTGATTTGGAGAGGGGTGATTTGGAGAGAATTTACTTGGAGAGGGGTGATTTGGAGAGGGGTGATATGGAGATGGGTGATTTCAAGAGGGGTAATTTGGAGAGGGGTGATTTGGAGACGGGTGAATTGGAGAGGGGTGATTTGGAGATGGGTAATTTGGAGATGGGTGATTTGGAGACGGGTGAATTGGAGAGGGGTGATTTGGAGAGAATTTATTTGGAGAGGAGTGATTTGGAGATGGGTGATATGGAGATGGGTGATTTGGAGAGGGGTGATTTGGTGAGGGGTAATTTGGAGAGGGGTGATTTGGAGATGAGTGATTTGGAGAGGGGTGATTTGGAGAGAATTTATTTGGAGAGAATTTATTTGGAGAGGGGTGATATGGAGATGGGTGATTTGGAGAGGGGTGATTTGGACAGGGGTGATATGGAGATGGGTGATTTGAAGAGGGGTAATTTGGAGACGGGTGATTTGGAGAGAAT